CCTTGCAAAGGATGGATCAATGCTTCGAGAAGCAAACAAATTTACTAGGAAAGAAAGTTGCATCAATTTTTATTTTTTCCAATTTCAATTTTTTATTTTTTATAATTTTTTGTATTTCACATGGCACGCTTTGATTTAGAAGAAAAAATTCAGAACAGTTGTTGACACTTTCGATACCAGAAGCAACAACAAAATACACGCAAATGTTGTTTTTGCTCTACTGATACTACCTGTTTAATGTGCCTTGGTTCGATCCATGATAAAAAACATTAGAAGGTAAAACCATTCTCTCAGCTGTTTTGTGTTTACATGTTGCCTGCATTTACTTGGCGCTTTTAAGGAATAGTGAATGTATTTTCAATCTTTATATTCATAAAATCAAATTAGTGAAACAAAAATTCAATTTCCAAGAGTTTGTATTTAAGTGACAAAAACCAAAACAACGCGAATTAACTGTTTCTCAAATTCTGGGCACGACATGTGTTTTTTTTTTCTGTTCCCGTACTTCTATATCACGATTGAGAGAAATAGAGGTTGCGCCCAAGAATGATAGAATACAAGATTGCGCCGATCAGAGAGGATTTTTGAGAATAACTTTTGTGTGACGTCACACTGGTGCAATTGCGAGAGAGAAATGCCAAAACGTGAGCAAGAATGGAAGAAGAAGAAAAAATGTTGCAAGGAAAACGNCAAACAACGATTCTGTCAAGTTCGTTAAGAGAGGAATAGCGGTTTTGTATTCTCACAATCGTGGGTTGCGCCCATCATGGTACCGCTATTCCTCTCTCAGTGAATTTGACAGAATCGTTTGTATGACGTCACACTTGTGCAACTTGTTTAAGCTGAAATTAGTCGAGAACGCAGAACGTATACTTAAACGCAGTCTGTATACGCAGAATTTTGTCGATTACTGGAGCCCTCAGTGTTGCTTACTACACTGTTGCCACTCATCAATGCCTTTTCATAAACTTACCCTTTCAACTACAATTTTTCGTGCTATAATAGATTTTAGCTAAATATAAACTACTTAGTTTTCAACAAAAACCTTATTCAATAGTAAATTTCAAATATTTTAAACATATTTTGAATAGGAACTTATATCTTTTTTACCACTTGTAAAACTGACGAAGTGGCAACCATCTAAAGAAGGAGAAATCAGCTGACACGAAAAAATCTAAATTCCGCAGATTTCTGCGCTACGGGCTACACAACTACAGAAAAATTCTGCGGTGTTGAGTTTTCCTTTACATGGCGCTTTGGTAAGACAGATCTTGTCAGCTGACTCGGGTTTACGTACCGATAGGTTTACGTTCTTGACTAATTTCAGCTTTACGTTTTCCTTGCAACATTTTTTCTTCTTCCATTCTTGCTCACGTTTTGGCATTTCTCTCTCGCAAAAGTTTATCGCGATAAGCTGTTGTGAGTGATCGTGAAAAGATTACTTGCATCGTTTTTCTCATTTATGAGAGGCCGACATCGGCAATACTCGGGCTTCTCATATTCGAGTGAGGAAATTTCTTTGCTTTTTTCGATCGCGAATGAAAAGCAGCGGAAATTTTTTTGTCGATCGCATTCCGAATATGAGATATGATAAATTTGTTTGCACTTTTCACTCGCGATAAAAGGATGCAAAAATAATTGTGGAATATTTTCGATCGCGAACGTGAGTGAGAATTTCCGAACCCTGGTACATACATATGTGTGTATATTTCCATTTAATGCAAGGTATAAGAAGTTTTCTGAACTTAATTAGAATTTTTCTCAACTTAAATGAAGATTTTCTGAATTTGAAATGATGATTTTCTGACTTTGAATTTGTAACTTTATGAATTTGAAATGAAAATTCTGAGTATGTATTGTAATTTACTGAATTTGAACGAAAATTCTCAACTTCTGGGTTTGAATTGCACCTTTCTGAACTAAAACTGAAACAAAAATATAGTTTTTTAAAGTTTTTTAGTAAAAAAAAGAAGTGAAAAGTAAAAAAAGTCGAAATTTTTTCATGTAAGTAATGTGAATAAAATCGGACCATAAATACGGAATTTCCAAATCTCCCGACTGCTGCGCCATTTATTGACCACAATTTTTTATTCTTGTTCCTTTAAGTAATATAAGTTCTAAATCGGTACATAAATACGGGGTTTCCAAATATTTAGACTCCTGCGTACCTATCGGAAAATGGAGTTAGTCCTTTTCATACATATAAGTAATAAACCTTTCAAATATTAACGATATCGGGCCATGAATACGGATTTTTCAAATATCTTGGCACCTAGAGGATTAACTCATCTTCCATATAGCATTGTCATCGGGTTGTAAGCTATGTTTGAAGTTTCAAGTCTCTAGCACATTAGGGAGTTGGATAAAAATTTGCAAAATTTGATTACACACAGGTGAAACTTAATAAAAGCTTTGAAAAGGCGCGGTTTTTTCGTTTTTCTCGTAAAGTAAACATCCAAAGTATTAGCGCTAGTAAGAAGTCAAAACAATTGGTTTGCGAGGAGTTTTACCATTGGCGTGAGAATAGGGCCGTTAAATTTAATTTGGTTTTTATTATAAAGATGGTTTTGGTAAGAAAATGAGCTAGGGCCTTTCTATATCAAGGTAGCAATATGTAAATATCCCGAGCTCTCAAATTTCTCTTTGTGTTTTCCGAGATTTTTCTCCAATTTGTGGTGTCCTTGCTGGTGATGTCACATACATATGTAAATTCAGGAAGCCACAATTTACCCTCCTTTCATTTGAAGGTGCTTTCATTTCATGCAACAATACCAATACAACATTACATTAAAAAGTTCTCGCAAATGAAAAGATATAGCGATTGCTTTATTAAAATTCAATAAAAAGTGCAAAATCTAAAACTAAATGGGATTGTCGAATTTATGTACGATCAGACTAAAATATTAAGTACAATTCTTTTATTGCTTTGTATTGATTTATTATGCTAAAAATTTGTACGAAACACCATACTGTACTTCGTTTGTATAGTACGATGCATAAAGACAAAATCAATATTTAATGAAGACCTTGTAAAAATAAGTACAAATTCCAAGAAAACCGTATGAAATCAAAATCAATATCAATTAGCATTTCAGAAGTGGATATTGGTTTGATTCTAGTTATGTACTGTTAAGTGGTGTTAATTCCGCAACATGAGAAATGAGATGTATATTTTCATCACTTTCATCTTCCTTATCTACGTTTGAGATTTCAATGGTGCCTCCTTCCTCAACAAGAACTTTCTTAGCTACATCAGTTAAAAGTTTCTGGACCATTTCGTAAATAATAAGTTCCACGACTTCATTTTCTTCGCGATGAAAATTACACCATTTCTCGTCTTCATCATACATTTCTTGGATTATAATTTTACCGATGTGATCGCGCTTCGCTCTTTGACCATATACTGAATAAATTGGAGTACGCCGTTTGGTTGTTTTGTCCATAGCCAGACAACGTCGAACTTCTTTGTAAACAGACTCTTGCATACATCGTAATCGATTGGGTGGATTAAAGAAAGCCAGGTGAGTGTAGAAATTTATTGGGTCACCTTTCCTAAGAACCTCCACATGCTCGTCTAAATACTCACGGCAGATATCAAGTATTATTCGCTCATAGATGTTTGTTATTTTTTCGTCCATTACCGAAGGTAGCTTTTCGCCAGATTCGTTTATATAATCTTAAATTATAGAACAAAAACCATAATAGCAAAAATAAATAAATATTTAAACTGTTTATATAAAAGCTCTAAGATTACCAGTCTTTAAAAGTTCGCTGTACAATTCATGTGTGCGTCGATAGCTTATTTCTTTAATTCGTTCCTCAGAAGGAAATATAGTGGTCATTGGACTTCCATGGGCGGGGGGTACATATGGCGGAGGAGGCTTATTAGGGATTTCACGAACGTACATATACGGCATTACAGATGGAGGATTGTCGAACTGTTTAATTTTTTGCTATTGAGTATACATAGTTCTAAAATCTCATTCTGGTTATCTGTGGGTCACATATAGAAATGATAGCACCACTTCACCTCTTGGAAAAATTCCGCTTGTATTTCAAATGAAATGATTATTATTTTTGCCATCAGTGAACAGGTTTTCAATGGTTATATGTTACATGAAAAGCTATTTTTCCATCTACACCTTTTCATACATACATATACCTACTATTTTTACTTTAGTAAATTTTTTTTTGTGGAATTATCATTTTTATACCTGACACCACAGATTCTTGTTTACATACTTGCATACATACATTCAGCATAAGCGGTTCAACATAATTTTCAACTTCAACTGCGATAAAATGATATAACCTCAACTGTTTTACCAGTTTTAATATTTTTTTTTTAATTTTCATTTTTAATCAAGAAACAAAACCGACTTCAATTCTCATATAAAAATTTAAGAGTACTGCCAATTTTTTCACGATCCAATGATCGCATCTAAACTAAATTAGTATAGGACTACCCTTGAGGTAAAATCATTCCGATAAAAAACAAAATTATTGAAATCAGTTCACCTGGTCCAAATTTATGCGGTAACATACATACATACATAAAAAAATAAAAACAAGACATTCCGATTCTCTTTTTTTTTGGAAATCGGTTAAAAAAGGAGGAGGTTATGAATTCATTGGAATAATTTTTTATGTATGTTACCTTGTTACTTTAAACAGTTTTCGAGAATTCTTTCCAGTGACGGATTTGCAGTCTTGTCCGTCCGAGACCCTATAGTAGCAGCCCTTTTTCAGCTTCCATTATTTAGGTACGGCATATAAAATCTATCTTTTGCCGACTTTTATCGAAATGTATTATCGATAAAATATCACCAATCTAGCTAAAGTCCGGCCGGATTTCGATTATAGAAGATTCTATTTAAAAATCTAGTTCAGAAATTTATTTCTATGTATTATTATAATCCAATTTAATGTTAGGTGCCATTAATAACACTGGTTTACAGCAAAAATTTTCAATGGATGCCACTATCGAATTCCTATAAAGAATTGCTCGGTGATTCCGAAAATCGACTTAATTTTTTATTCTATGGATAGGTTTTTAAGATATTTTCAATTTGCCGTTATTCAGCTTAAAACAAAAAATGATTACACTTAATCGCGTATATCTTACGAACCAATTTAACAATCTTAATATGAAATACCGCAAATGAAAGCTAGAAAGCTTTTCGATAGGTCTGATAGTTCTGGAAAATTAATCATTCCAGATTTTTTGTTTTTGTTTGATGAAACACTTACTGATGTATAGACGGTTTTTGGGAAATTTGTTAGCTTTCATTTGTCGTATTTCATTTATTGCGATTTTTTAAACTTTTGGTTCGGACAGGCGGAAACAGCGTTCTAAGAATTAAATTTTGGGTAAATTCTGTTCTTCAGGACCCTAAAGAAGTGGCCGTCAAAGTTATAGAAAAATCTATAATGGGCCCGCGATGATTTTTTGTATTTTCAGATATTTTCATATGGAATGACTCTTTAAGAAAAAGCTACCAAAATGAAAAAATCACTTTTATATCTACCCAAATTGTATCTACTAATTTTGGTAATAATTTATGAAAGTGGCAACCCTGCGGCTAACATTTGTCGTTGCATGCCCAGCGCTGGAAAAATTTTTGTATTTGCTTTTGGAGTTCTGTCAAAAATGTATTTCAAATGGCAATTGGTTCATTACTTAACCCTGCTTTGATAATCTAAATACGTCTGCCTTTTAAAATTTTTGCGCTCTCTTTCGGGAAATTAAATATTATATTGGTTTTTTGTTCCTTTTTAATTAAGGAAAATTTATGAGTAAAATACATATAAATATTGAATAAATATTTTAAGAGCATATATCTGCAAAACGAAAATTTCATTGCTATTATCGCAAAAATTAAACGTCTCACAGATGTATGGATATTTTCTCAGCAACTTTCAGTTAAGTTATCAAAGCGGGGTTAAAGCATAGAACAAGTACAAGTAAGCAAACAAACTAGTTTGGAGTTTGGCGTTCACAACAGTCGAGTGGTTAGAGCTGCGTTAATCAGGGTCAACGTTGCCGTCTGTCTATGCTTTTACTGGCATCCTACCAGTTACTGGCGGGAGTACACACTCACATACGAAGAGCGATATGCACAGTAGGGTAGATGATTTGAAGACCTTCAGCTCTTAGCTGTTCCAACAATAGCGCTCTTCCGATCCTAATTTTTTATACTGCACTGGGCACGAAAGTGGCGACATTCTTCTAAAAAATTGTATTTTAAGTCGATAGAAAAATCATTTGTAATGCTTTGACATTTTCTTTGGCTTCTGACGTGCTTAATTTCGTCAAGTTAGCAGTAAAATAAAATTCAAGGCATGGTACAATAATTACAGGTATTGTCTTCCCAGAGAGCGCATATTCCGATCTGCCTTATTTAAAAAATATCATTGTTGCCCATCTAAAGAGTTTACTGCTAGGGAAAAGGGATATTTCCATACCCCATATCATGATACAAATATTTAAAGGTAGTTTTACTTCATCTTAACTGCCATTGCTCCCATTTGACGTAAGTAAACTGTGCTTTTCACGTTTTCTTTTAAATTGAAGCTACCATATTCTTTGAAGAAACTAAAAAGTGGTTTTTTACTTAAAAAAAATTATTTCAAGGAATATATTTTGAGCATCATTTTATAGCGAGCTTTTAGTGGTTTATTTCTAAAATTAGTTATAAAAGGGAAGACAAGTAAAATACTCCTATTACATTGTGTAATGCACATAGATAATCAATTTGTTTATGAAATTATTTTCATCATTATTTATTACGATTAGCTGCATATTTCGGGATGGCCATGTGCATGGTAACTTCAACTTGGTGTTGTTTGCTTGTTCCAACCAGTTTTCGGCGGAAAATTTTCAGCCTCGGGAAGGATGTGCCCAATCTAAGCGAAACCCTGCACCAGCAGCAGTAGAGCGAGTAGTTTGTCTATATACTACAACAAGGAGCTCTAAGAATTTGTAATTTTTTTACCTCCCTCTAAGCTTATGCTTCCATAGTGCTTTCATTGACGATAAGTTACTTTTTAACTATTCCTTTGTTCATATGTCCTTTAAAACGGATCCAAATTAAAGCAACGTCTTAATATCTATAATAATATCTCGTCGGCCGCTGTGGTGTAGTGGTAAGCAGTGCGCGCTTCCACTCCACAATGCCTGGGTTCAAACCCTGGTCAAAGCAACATCGCAAAAATATAGAAAAAAGGTTTTTTCTTAACAGCGGTCGTCCCTCGGCAGGCAATGGCAAACCTCCGAGTGTATTTCTGCCATGAAAAACAGCTTCTCATAAAAATACAATCGCCGTTCGGAGTCGGCGTAAAACTGTAGGTCCCTCCGCTTTGTGTGACAACATCAAGGCGCACGCCACAAATCGGAGGAGAAGCTCGGCCAAACACTAACATATGTGTAAGCGCCAATCTATTATTATTATTAATATCTCATGGAGCACTGCATATAATGCCTAATTTTGATGCGGTAAGGTAATTTAAGGTATTTTAAATTACTACACACTTATTAATAGCTATGCTAATACGATGAATTAAGTAAATTTACCTTGCGTGTTGTTATTTTTTAATGCATAAAAAATTCCTTTAAAAAATAATAAAATTTCCAAAACAATAATTTGTTGAGGTGGCAGTGATACTCGAGTATAAACGTCATAAGTTTATGTCAAAAAATTTCAAAGTGAAACTACCTTCCTTTTTTGTATCATGCCCCATATACCATAATATGCACGTATTTTTTTTTAAACAAATCTTCTTGCAGAGAACTTATTTAATTTGTAAAAGCCGAAAAATACCCATTTTCCTATGAAAAAATTCCAAATTTTTATGGCTCACAGGCTAACCTAATATTCACGCACGCCGCCAATTTACTGTCAAAAATTTCTCATGCACATACAACTTGTATGGGACCAACCGAAATTGAACGGCGTGCGTATGAAGCTAACTTAATTTCCAATTTTTGTTCTGCGTGACATTTTGATTTGACGTTTCGCTCAATGAAATCAAATGCAAACGCACGCAAGCCAATTTCGGGTGACGCAAAAAAACAAATTCGACGGCGTGAGTACCAAAACGCAAGCCGCGAATATTAGGTTAGCCTGTCACTTTAATTTAAACGTTTTTTCTTTTGATTTTAAAAATTATAAAAATTTAATTGAGCGTAAGCAAAAAGCAAATCCAAATAAAAGCAAAAGAATTAACGTTGAACTGATCGTAATACTTCTATATTGACAGTCAAGGAACATAAATACAGGTAGAAGCCATTTTGACTTTGCTCTAATGAGTACCAAACCTTTAAACTTCAACTTGTTTTCCTTTTATATTTCCTATATTTTGTTACGCTTTGAAGGCCATGTCGTGTTTTTTTTTTAATGTTCGTGAATAACAAATTTTAATTAACATTTTAATTTTTGTAGTGTTGTGCCGTCTATACTTAGTGTATGTGTTAAAAATGCAACACCTGAAGCGTTTTTTTTTTTGTGTGATGTTAAATATAATGCAGATACCACTAATTTAACGTGCCTCAATGTCCTTCGCGTAAGGAGCATTGCGAAAGCAGTTGTGGGGCAGAGCTGCAGCGAAATGCGTTGCTGTGTGTTAAACATTTAAACCAGCAGATTTCATAAATGCACCGGGAGGTAAAGGAAAGGCACGTTTGATGCCAAGTGCTGTTCCTATGACTTTTATGCTGGAAAGTCCCTGCAACAACACTGTAACTCATAAATAGAAAACAACATACAGTAAATTTGAACTAAAGAAAATAAATAAATAAAAATAAACTTCAAATTTAGTTAAAAACGTCAACCAGTGAAATGTAATTTTTAACAGACTTCCAAAAAAGGAGGAAGTTATCATTTCTTCGGAATATTTTATTTATTTTTTTTAATGTATGTTACCGCACAACTTTGGACCACGTCAACCGATTTCGATAATTCGATTGCAACGGAAAGGTAGTGTCTCAGAGGTGGTCCCATACCAATTTGGTTTAGATCCGATCATTGAATCATGAAATATATAGATATATATATTTTTTTTTAAGTCGTTTTTTTTTGCTAAAAATTACTTTCCTTCAGCAGCCATTACAGTACGGATGTATAAAAAAAGAAAACCGAGTAATCGTATATAAAAAGTGGCACTTGAATTCAAAACATATCGCAGTGGCGGAACGTTAAAAGAAAATTACAGGACATTTTTAGTTTACATTTAATTTCATAAATTTTATTATAAATTAAATGTCGCACTGACGCTTTTTACGTGAAGAAAAGAAGAGATTAATTAAATAAAATAGTTTTACATGCGTATTTTGGTACGCAGATAATTTCCAGAAATTTTAACTAGAAGGCTTGCAATTCTAATGGAACTTTGTTGATTTTTTTAATTTTTGCACAAAGTTTGAAATTTGGATTTGTATAGTTTTTGTTAGATAATGAGCTGTACTTTTATAAAAAAAACTTATAAGAAAGTTTAAGTTCGGGCGGAGCCGAACATTAAATACCCGGCGCAAGNACTTATAAGAAAGTTTAAGTTCGGGCGGAGCCCAACATTAAATACCCGGCGCAAGTATTAAATGTATGTTTTTCACCTTTCCGAAAGATACCGCTACATGGTAAGCTGGGGTGTATCAATTTTGAGTAAATTAGCGTCCTTAAATTTCGAAATATTGAAGTTTCAAGCATTTCTGAAATTTAGTGTTATATGAAAATCGCCCGTAATTTTAGTTCGATTTCAATAATTTTCAACATTTTGATTTTATATGGCAAGCGCAATAACTATACCGAGTTTGGTACAAATTACAACTGTGATCATAAGTGGGCGGTGGCACGCATTTTTTCCAAAATTTTATCATAAACGTATTTCTTGGTAAAGAATTGTTCCAAGCATCAATTTTGAATAAATAGCTTTAGTATTTACTGGTTTATCGAAGATTTCGTATTTCTCTAAACTCCCGTCATATGGGATGTGGGCGTGTTTATTGTCCGATTTTAAAAATTTCCGGCCATTTGATATGCTGTACCAAGGCCAACAACTGTGCCGAGTTTGGAAGAAATTGGTGCAGCGGTTACCAAAATATACACATGTAACCATAAGTGGACGTGGCTACGCCCAATTTCCAAAAATTTATAATATTCTTATTTTTCGTCTAAAAAATATTGTTAATATCAATTTTGAGTGAATAAGCTTAAGTAGTTACTAAAATATCGCAGTTTTCGTTCTTCTGAAAATTGCCGTTATATGGGAGGTAGGCGTGGTTATTTTCCGATTTCGCCCATTTTCAATACGTTTCGTCCTACGTCCGAAAGAAGTGTACTTACTAAGTTTCGTTAAGATATCTCAATTTTTATTCCAGTTATCGTGTGCACAAACGGGCAGACGGACGGACGGACAGACAATCACCACTTAATCGATTTCTCTTTTCATTCTGATCATTTATGTATACATTTGTCTATATCTATCTCAATTCGTTTTGCCTGATACAACCAACCGTTATGTGAACAAAGTTATAATACCCTAGTGCACAAGTGCGTTCGGGTATAAAAAGAAGCCAAATCGGCCTATAAATAAGTTAGATATAGGACTTTTCTTTTTTTTCGTGGTAGACTTTTCGCTAAAATCACCCATATATATGTACATTACACCGCGTCAACAAAAATAAAAAAATCCTGCAATGCAACCGGACCCCGAATCATATTTTAGTATTTGGTTAGTATTGATCCTCCACGAATCTCCCTCTATACGACAATTCTAAGACGTCACGCATCTAGCGTTTATTTTTCCAATAGGAATAAAGGTATCCACACACCTATGCGATTCTGTCGGTGCGAATCTGTTCCGACAAAAATTACAACCATGCCGACCATGGTTTTAAATGAGGAACCACACACTTATACGATTTTGCTGCAGGATTTATTCGAACATTCACAGTTCTTCTTTTCGTCGTGCCGAAATTGCAGACTGCCGCGTTTTGAGAAGGAAAAAGGTCAATAGAAGGATTTTGCAATATTAAAACAAAATTTAACGTAAGAAACCAAAACATATTTGATGTACATATGTAGAAAAGTTAAGAATCTTATTTTTGTTGAAAATATTTTTGTGTGTCTATAAATTGACAGTTTTTACTGCAATAACATCGGGCAGATGTGTGCGTACTTACGTTTTCGAATTCGTTCCAAAAGAATCGCACCGGTGTGTGGATGCCTTAACACGTAAGAAGAAGTGTTATTCTCTTTTGAGGTCAAAATAATTCTCGAGGATCAATAAAAACGCTCGAAAGTATAAGAATACATTGATTAGTATTATGCAGGCTTAGATTTGGAGATCAACACATCTCCTCATCAGACTTCCTCATCGAGTTCACTAGGATCTCCGAAATAGCAACTATGTATAACTTCTACCAAAATGTAAATAAAATTGTTAAATATAATAATTCAAATAAAGTTCCCTGAAGTTATAACTAAATCCGTCAAAACCCTCAAAATAAAATGTATTCCGCTATTATTTTACCATTTTTTGCTGATTACCTTCAGTCTATTTGTCCAACAATTAAATTTGAATTCATATTTAGTCGAAAAATATAACAGATGCTTTCGAAATTTGCCAAATCTTGTGAGTGATTAAATTTTATCTCTTTTCTCATCATTTAAGAAAATGCTAATGCCAATGTGGCTGTTTTTGGCGAGTTGGTTTATAAATTCGCGGCACTAGATGCACTAACAGTTTAATTTGAAAATCATGTTGAAAATATTTTGCTGAAGGGGCCTGTATGTACGTACATACATATATGTATTATGTTTAATCAGCATACCTCGTTTTCAATTAGAATTTGTTGGCAACGACGTATTTCGAGTTCATTTATAATATCGGGCATTAGTTGCACTGTATTTACAGGGGAAGTATTTTCATAGTTAATATTTTGTGCTGTTGATTGGTACCGTGTACTATCTGTTGCAGAAGGTACTAGTGGCGGTGGAGCTGCTGTTGAAATGTCTAAATTAGACAGCAACGGTTGAGTTGTTTCGAGTTTTTCTAAAACTCTAGAACATGTTGGCACATCTTGGTAAATATTTTTACTTTCTTTACTTGTTTGAATCTGATTTTCACAGTCCTCACAGTCCTCAATACCACTTTTATCACCTAGAGAGGTATCAAATATGCTGTCGAAATGAGGCAGTGATAAATCATCTATTTTCGTTAATTCGCATGTGCTTTCAAAATCTTCTTCGTATGTGTCCACAGTTTCATTTTCGGATGATTGACTTTGTACAGATTGACTTACAAATGTTTTTGAGTTGAATGATTCTTGTTCATCTATCGACTGGTTTTCATTTGAATCATATATATTCTTGCTCAAGGAACTGGTATCATTGTCAATTTGTTCCTGATTCGAAGCTGTTGAAATTACAAAGCTCAAGATTTGATGTGGACCATCATTACTCTTAACTTCAGAGCTACACGAAGATTGAGCACATGAGGAAATAAGCTGGGGACTATTTTGAATTTCCTGATCATCATAAGTTCGTTTTAGTTTATCATTTAAAGTATGAAAGGCTGTCTCTGAACTAGTGTGTTTGCTTTGTTCATTGCCCAGACTAGGGTCAACAAAATTTTCTTCAATCTCCGTCGCTGTTTTTCTCCGAGTTGTACTTTCGCCAGAAATATTTGGGGAGTTTATAACTGATGGTCCTTCCATCTGTAGGTTTGATGCTGTAGTAAACTGTAGAGCGTCCGGTATTAGGACATCATTTTCTTGCTCGGATGGTTTTTGTTGCGATGTGATAAAGAAAGGCGGCAATTTTACATTTGTTTCTGTCTTGTATGGTGGGAGGCGATCTGCATTAGACATGGAACGTCTGGAATTTTCGGCAAAGCCGTCTTTATATATATTTAATAATTTATTTTTGTTGTCGTGTGGCGAGCGACATTTATTATACAATACAGTGTCAGAAAGGCTGCGAATTAATCCAACATCACGAGTTGTCCAAGACGATAAATTTCTCATTTTTGGATATAAATTCGATTCAGAGTTATGCTTTGTCATCAGGAAGATAGAATTCGAATCACGGTCGAAAAGCTTAAAGTTTTCTGCTGCTATGGTAGGACTGGGTGCCTCCAGTAATAATGAATTTGGAGATGCTCCTTCCCACGACTCTTCTTCTTTATCAGATGGTTCAGAACTGGTACATAAATTTAACGATGGTACAAAAACAGACTCATGTTGCTGCTGTTGTTGTAAAGATGTTTGTGATATGTTTTTGGATATGCTTTTTTCAAGAAGATCAGCCGGTAAGTGACCCTCATTCTGGGCAAAATCCTGAAGCACTGCTATCTTTGCGTTTTCATAAAGGCTTTCCAAATCCGCCTTCGAAAGCTCATAGTGTTTATTAGGTACATATTTTCCGACTTGTTGCGAAGTTAGACGCCGCCATAATTTATTTAATTTATTGCCACTAGTTCGGACGGATTCCAAAGCATTTGTTTTGTTTTCTTCTCCACTTCCTTCATTGCTTTCAGCCGTCGTATGTGTACTTGAGATGTTATTCAATTCTCTTAAACTATTTTCTATCTCCTTTAGACGCCGGTGAGTTTTTGCACGAGTACCAATATTTTTGATAGGAACCACGCCAGCGTGATTCTGATGTATCTTCTTTACTACGTCGGTAATAATGGGTTTTGTATAAGTAACCAGTGCGTTTTCCATTTGTAAAACTTCAGCTTCTTCCCGGTCAAGGCGGCGATGCCATTGCATTAGGCGTTCCACATGTTCTCTGCGACGCCGTAAATCGGATTCACGTTTCCTCAATAGCTCTTCAAGTGAACGAGATGATTCAAGGGCGTAATTCGCACGTACCACGGGCACCGAACGAGTCGTTTCTGCGTTCACCTTTGGTTGTGAAATACTTCGTGCATACTTGGATATAGTGTTCACTGATCCAGATTGTGGGATTGTAACTAATGTATTAGGTTGTTTCTCATTTCGACTCAATTGAGTAATTTTGTGAGCAATTTTTGGGTTGGTTGTTTGGAATACAGCACTCTTTTCAAACTCTTTGGACGTAGACACATATTCCACAGTTCCACGATTAGCTGATGATTCTGTTGAGGTTGTTGTGGTGGTTGATTGTAGCAGCCTAAATAAAAAGAAAAAATAAAATAATTTATAACTTTTAATCATAAGATGAGATTATGTACATCTCAAATATCATCAAGGCCTAGAAAATTATCACCCAGCATTTAAACAATACAGGTAATCAACAGGGAACGGATTTTTAGGACCTAAAAACCTATAAAAAGGCAAAATAAAATAACGAAATAGGCTAGAAAGGGCAAAATAAAATATCGAAGTTGGCAGGAAAAGGCACTAAAAAAGACAAAAACCGAAAAATGATCAAAAAACATTTATTTTAGAAATGTTTATTTTACAAGTAAAAAGACAAAAACTATGAACTAGTTTTAGTAGGAGATCCGACAAAAGCACGACCTTTACCCATCTGTTTAATGGATGACATCTACTTTGTATGAAATTTAATGTGTTAGGAAATATTTCGCGAGTGGGTTGGCTGTAAAAATCCTGGCCAGGATATTTTTAATTACGTATTTAAAAATTATTATAATTTTTTTTATTTTGTACTCATTTAAACACACAGAACACACACAGAAACGAAACTGGAAACGAGCTAGGCGATGGGAATCGCTTACCCTTTCGCTTCAAGAAGGCCTTATTTTAACATGGGCATGTCATTGGCGGTAAGCCCTTACCTGCAGCATTACCTTAAAACGAAGGGAGAACGCATGGATAAACAGAATCCAGAGAAGCGAACAAAGAATGCCTTACAGAGAAATAATGTAGAATACCGAGATAAGTACATACTTATTTATATTAAATTGAAATCAGAAAATGTCTTAAAAGATTAAAATTAATTAAAATTTTTATAAATCAGTTTTATACATACATACATATGTATGTATTTAGGTATTTATATTTTACTTAAAAATCGTTATGTACATACATGCATATTTAATTAAGCTTAAATTGTACTTCTTCACTCTTGTACTTCACTTCATTGACTGACTTCAACTTCGCTGCAAATTGAACAAAGCAAAACATGATTTTTATGCGTGACGAATTTCCACAGAAAGTAACACGTTACCACTAAAAGCGATTATTGATTTTTTGCTGGGAAGATACAGAAAACAAATTAAGTGAGCGAGATGAGAGGAATGAGAGAAATATGTAGCAACTCCAACAACAAAACAACTAGCACAGGGTCGCATTTATTTTGCTATGCTTTTTTGCAAAATATAAGTTAACACCAGCGAGACGTTGATACCCTTCCAAGCTGCACAGTGATTCGAATAGAACAAGCTAGCTGGACAATAGTCGTCATGGAGTTTTTGAATTGTGATTACTAAAAATGACAACCGATATTCTCATTATTACGAATTAGAAATAATTTTTACATTGATATTGTTTAAGGATAAGTAATTAATTGTTGATATCGCAAAAACGGACACGCGTGTTGTTTAATTTCATATTGTGGTGTTATTGCGATTTTGCATACCGTTGCTTTATTGTGCTGTGTTTTTTATATTTGTGATGGAATTGCAAGCCAAAGGTAGGTACCATTTATTTTCTATGTAATCTTGTATTTACCACTGTTTATTATTTTACAAGAAATGTCAAAATCTTGAATTTTTAAATTTTTTTGCTACTTTTTGCATTTATTAGTGTAAAAGTAGTATTTCCCCACCTGTCCCCAGTCTAAAATTTGTAGATTACATAGCTGTAGTCCTATAGGTTCTAAATATAACAGTTTCTATCTGTACAAATCTGTACAACTATTTCTTTTAATTTTTTTCTAGATTATTCCTTTTCGATACCGAAAGCAGTAACGTTTGAAGAATGGTTGAAATATGAAAAAAATTACAAAAATATCATGCTGTACGAAGTTTGGTCTTTAAGATACGGTTTCTCCGTCCTCACCGAAGAGTCGGCTAAAGAGAAAAAAAAAATTTTCAGTCGGTTTTCATCGAAGCTAGAAGAAAAGTGGAAGAAAAGCGGAAAAAGCAGGGAGCGTGTTTTTTTTAATAATAATGAATGGATGGAGGGAGATTTTGCCTTCCGAGCCTCCATTCATAAAGAGCAGCCTTCGACATCTGCGGGCACAACGTCTGGGCGGCCTCGAAAGGAGTTCGACATCTCCAGTACTAAAACAAAACGAAGGAGAGTAGGAACTTGATTACGTCACGGAGTACTTCGGAATTAATAACCGCTGCCGAAGTATCAGCTCGAATATCTGGTCATAGAACTTTAGCTGAAGTTATCAAGAGCGCTAGTGATAGTCCCGATAAATTTAAATTATTCAAAAATCATGGTAGTAGTAGTAGCAAAGTCTCTGAGCAGAGATGTTTGACAAAAGAAGAGGCGTTGGCATATTATGTGGACGCGAAATGTACTAGTCACTCTTACAAACAGACTCGGAAGTGGAGTATGAAAGCGGGACATCAGGTATTTCCATCATATTATAGTGTTAGAAACGCAAACTGAGAATGCTATCTTCCTGAAAATAAAATTATCGTAAATGAAACTCGAGCACAAATTAATTTTCAGGCGATTTTAAATAAAACCGTTGAACGTTTGGTTACTGCTCAGTGGGACGTTTTACAAAATTTGGCATCTAGTTTATCATTCACTCTAATCAGTAAGTGGGGTTGTGATGGCAGTTCAAACGAACAAAAATTCAACAAATGTGACAACACTATGCATTTTGTTTGTATTCTCATTTGTACCGCTTCAATTGCGTGACGAAAATGGCATTGCTTGGCAGAACCCTCGTCCATCTTCAAATATGTACTGTCGTCCAATTAAATTCATGTTCTCTAAGGAAAATACAGAGTTGACAGTTTCCGAGACGAATGACGTTTCAGAGGAGGTACACGGGTTGCAACCTACAAAAGCTAGTGCTGTTGGCAGAGATATATCTGTTAAACATGAACTATTGTTTACGATGGCTGACGGTAAAATATGCAATGCTTTGACAGAAACATCTTCAGCTCAAAGGTGCTACATTTGTGGAGCGACACCTAAAATGATGAATGACGAGAACAGGAATTTTGTAGCAAATAAAAATAATCTTGGTTTTGGCTTATCAACTCTTCGCGCCTGGATTCGCTGTTTAGAATGCTTACTTCACATAAGTATCGTATCCATATTAAGAAATGGCAAGTGCGAGACAGAACTGATAAGAATGCCGTGAGGCATCGTTCTGCTGAGATTCAGAAAAAGTTTTAAACTGAAATGGGATTAATAGTCGATAAGCGAAAGCCGGGTTATGGAAATACAAATGATGGATATACCGCTCGCAAATTTTTTAAGAACCCCGATAAAAGTGCAGAGATTACAGGATTGGATGTGAACCTTATAAAAAAGTTCGATATCATACTCAGGGCGTTATCATCTGGCTTTGACATTAACATTGAAAAATTTCTAAATTTAGCAAATGAAACAAGAAATCTTTATTGAAGTCTCTATTCGTGGTATTACATGCCTGTTACTGTACACAAAATTCTTGTTCATAGTGCCGAGGTTATACAATCGGTTCTTCTGCCAATCGGACAGCTTTCTGAGGAAGCCCAGGAAGCTCATAATAAGGATCACGTACTACTACGAATAGAGACTTACTTAATATGCTATTGATCACATCCGATCCTGTAATAAACAGTTTCCGGGAAGTTCCTAAGAAAACGACTGGCAATCTACCTTCCGACGTGTTAGATTTATTACTACCACCAACAGAAAATATAACTCAACATGTAGGGACTGTAAATAAAAATGACTATATAGGATATGACTCATCAGAAGTGGAATTTAGCGAAAGTGATTAAGAAATTAGATTGTTTAAATAGCATATTAGTGGAGTGTACAAACCAGTTATGGTTCAATGATTTGTTAATGTTTTAATTTGTATTGATATTCTAACTATCTGCGAGCGCGAGAGATTTGATAGATAATCTCTCATGTTTTGTATATATAATAACACTCTTCTCGGATTTTGAACTTTTCTTCTTGGGAAAAGGTTTTGATAGTTTATCGTACTTAATTGGGGCCTTCTTAATTCAAAGGTGTCCTCCGTTTTTCCAGATTGGCTCCAGTTTTCGAGGTAACGGTACTTAAATATCTATTATATATAATACGCGAAGGGTTTTTTTGTGCAGCGTAAAACATCTGCACCGTTCGCTCGATTTTCAAAATTGGTGTCAAATTAAAGCGCTTGGCCTGTAGATGTGCAATAAGGTTTTATTTTTTCGAAAAGAGTTGCCACCTGTTAAATAATTAAACTCACGTTATTTACTAATCAATGCCCTCAGATCCGCACCGTCCGTTTGTTTTTTAAAAGTGGGGTACCAAATTACTTTTTAGAAAAAAGTTGCCACCTGTTAAGAAATTAAGCTCAAATTAATTAAAAAATTAAATTAAAAATTAAAAAAAATTTAATACAATTTTAATTAAAGGAGTTTGGTAAGTGAATAAGGAATCGCTATATGGGTGTCATTAAAAGGAATTTAAGAAGGTAGTAGTTTGAAAATATTTTGAATAGGTTTGCCACCTATTTGAGAAGTCTAATTGAACTATTTTATACCCAAGTTATATGAAATATTAACGATGGATGTCAAATGAAAGAGCTTCAAGAAATACTTAGTTTGACAATTTAGAACATTTTTGAAGTGCTTGAGGGTTTCCCAGCTTAAAGGGCTAAACTAAAATTATTTAATAAGTTAAATGAATCACTAACCGATGGTAATCAACGGAAATGGGTTTAAAATCCTTTATTTAAGAAAATGTTTAGGAGGGTTGCCACGTGTTTAAAAAATGAATTTCCACTTAATTCATCAGATACTTGAAATATTTATAACAATGTCAGGTGAAAAATATTTAAGGAAACTTTAGTTCGAAAATAATTTTTAAGAGGGTTGCCGCCTGTTTTGAAAGTGGTATTTTGTTTAATTATACATAAGTTACAAGAAATTTTAAAATATGGTTATGAAAAAAACGAGTGTTAAGAAATCTTTAAATTGAACATATGTTTTTTTTTGTTGAAAAAAAATAAGCTCAAATTATTTAATAAGTTAAATGGATTGTCAAAAGATGGGTATCAATCGAAATGGGTTTGAAAATAGTTTATTTCTAAACAGTATTTACGAGAGTTGCCATGTGTTTAAAAAAACTAAATTCATCAATTTTTCAATTTAATATGTATAACAATGCCAGGCGAAAGATTTTGGCTTCACAATACTTTTAAAGAGGTTGCCACTTGTTTGAAAATTCAAATTTGTTTTACTTATACGTAAGATACATAAATGAATTATCGAAATATTAGTGTCAAACGAAAGAGTTTTAAGGAAACTATAGGCTGATAATATTTTTAATTAGAATTGCCATCTATTATTATTTTTTTTTTTGAAGGTCATCACATCTTCAACGTTATTTCGAATTTCCAAAATGAGAAGGCAAATTAAAGAACTGGGATTCTACATAGATGTGCACAGGTTTTATTTTTTGAAGTTACATGAAAACCAACACCATGCGAGACCTCTCATCACTCAGAAATGGTTAGATTAATCATTAGGAATATTTTTAGAGGTTTTTGAATAGGTTTCACCTGTTTAAAAAATTTATTTAAATGTTGGCGCTTTGGCGCCATGCGGGTTCACTAGTTTTAACTATTAACGGTTTACAATAACAAATAGCTCCCATAAAGCTGATTGTTCATATATAAGGCTTTTTACTAAAAAGTGAATCAACAATCAGTTGCATGTTGTATGTTATAGGGACCCGATCTAAATGTTTTTCCCTGTTAACTTTCTATTAATGATAAATAAAAATAGTACCCAATTTCATATTCTTACCAAACCCACATATCTGAACAATCAGTTGTATTCCAGATATATGTTAGAGTGAACCTTTTTCGATGATTCTCAAAATAGTTAAAGTAATGTTAAAAATCAGTCACGTGCAAAATTCTACTAAAATAACTTTAAAACTGAGAGATTGGCGCAGGAGCTACAATCCAACCACCAGCGCACGGCATTTGCGAACACTTTTGTCACCTATACGGAACGTCAGAATCACTTTAATTCACCCCATTACAAACAAATCTCCCAGCAAACGCAAGGACTGAACGGACCCGTGCCCATGGAGGTTGATGCCTCAACGTCCCGGTTTGTACTAAACAAACCGAACCACCAATTTCCTACCAATAGGATGCAAGGAACATCTAACCGACTCCCAAGGACATCGTACGACCAGAGACCTTTACTGAACTATAGTAAACCTGCCCTAAATGCCAATACTAACGCATAGGGATCTTCAAGACCAGCAGGTCTTAACTTCTAAGACAAAGCAGTAAAAAAACAAATAGGTTCGGATAGGCAGCCAATAGCAAAAGTTCAAAGGATTAATAGCTTAGCGCAGCAAGTCGATCCTCAAGCAAAGGACCATGGCGAAAGGACCTACGATAACCACTATTATACTTACGATCAATACGACGATACAGAAACCAATTTTGGTTACGACGAGGACGAGCTAGGAACTTCGGATGAAGTTAATTTTTTAGGGGACAATCCCTCCTTTCTTAAATTTCAAGGACACTAGGAGGGGTAAAGCTTAAATTCTTGATCGATACCGGAGCATAGACAAATTATATTAAGAACTTAGATGTTTTGAAGGGAATAAAACCCACAAAGANAGTATTTACGAGAGTTGCCATGTGTTTAAAAAAACTAAATTCATCAATTTTTCAATTTAATATGTATAACAATGCCAGGCGAAAGATTTTGGCTTCACAATACTTTTAAAGAGGTTGCCACTTGTTTGAAAATTCAAATTTGTTTTACTTATACGTAAGATACATAAATGAATTATCGAAATATTAGTGTCAAACGAAAGAGTTTTAAGGAAACTATAGGCTGATAATATTTTTAATTAGAATTGCCATCTATTATTATTTTTTTTTTTGAAGGTCATCACATCTTCAACGTTATTTCGAATTTCCAAAATGAGAAGGCAAATTAAAGAACTGGGATTCTACATAGATGTGCACAGGTTTTATTTTTTGAAGTTACATGAAAACCAACACCATGCGAGACCTCTCATCACTCAGAAATGGTTAGATTAATCATTAGGAATATTTTTAGAGGTTTTTGAATAGGTTTCACCTGTTTAAAAAATTTATTTAAATGTTGGCGCTTTGGCGCCATGCGGGTTCACTAGTTTTAACTATTAACGGTTTACAATAACAAATAGCTCCCATAAAGCTGATTGTTCATATATAAGGCTTTTTACTAAAAAGTGAATCAACAATCAGTTGCATGTTGTATGTTATAGGGACCCGATCTAAATGTTTTTCCCTGTTAACTTTCTATTAATGATAAATAAAAATAGTACCCAATTTCATATTCTTACCAAACCCACATATCTGAACAATCAGTTGTATTCCAGATATATGTTAGAGTGAACCTTTTTCGATGATTCTCAAAATAGTTAAAGTAATGTTAAAAATCAGTCACGTGCAAAATTCTACTAAAATAACTTTAAAACTGAGAGATTGGCGCAGGAGCTACAATCCAACCACCAGCGCACGGCATTTGCGAACACTTTAGCCACCTATACGGAACGTCAGAATCACTTTAATTCACCCCATTACAAATAAATCTCCCAGCAAACGCAAGGACAGAACGGACCCGTGCCCATGGAGGTTGATGCCTCAACGTCCCGGTTTGTACTAAACAAACCGAACCACCAATTTCCTACCAATAGGATGCAAGGAACATCTAACCGACTCCCAAGGACATCGTACGACCAGAGACCTTTACTGAACTATAGTAAACCTGCCCTAAATGCCAATACTAACGCATAGGGATCTTCAAGACCAGCAGGTCTTAACTTCTAAGACAAAGCAGTAAAAAAACAAATAGGTTCGGATAGGCAGCCAATAGCAAAAGTTCAAAGGATTAATAGCTTAGCGCAGCAAGTCGATCCTCAAGCAAAGGACCATGGCGAAAGGACCTACGATAACCACTATTATACTTACGATCAATACGACGATACAGAAACCAATTTTGGTTACGACGAGGACGAGCTAGGAACTTCGGATGAAGTTAATTTTTTAGGGGACAATCCCTCCTTTCTTAAATTTCAAGGACACTAGGAGGGGTAAAGCTTAAATTCTTGATCGATACCGGAGCATAGACAAATTATATTAAGAACTTAGATGTTTTGAAGGGAATAAAACCCACAAAGACCCCATTTTTAGTTCAATCTATTCACGGCAAAACTAAGATCACCTCAGAATGTCTCGTGAATGTCCTCGGCAGAACCAACCCTTTCATTATACTACCTTACCTTAATAGCTTTGACGGAATAATTGGTTACGACCTCTTAATGAAAACAAATGCGACGATCGACGTAAAGAGGGGAATTTTACACTATGATGGCAAAGAGGAAAAGCTTCTTACCTTTATTCAGGGAGACTAAACCATCTTGCGGTTGACAATGCAACCATTCCCCCGGAACTCAGCCATGATTCAAGATCAGTCAGGTGTGTTCGCGGACCCCACAACACCATTGCCTTATAAGACCAATGTCGTTGCTACCATTAGGACTACAGATAATGAGCCCGTTTATTCAAAGGCGTACCCATATCCAATGGCGGCAACCGAATTTGTGAATAAGGAAATAGAGAATCTGCTTAACGATGGCATTATTCAGCCTTCACTATCACCGTACAATAACCCAATATGACAAGAAAGGAGTCGATGAAAACGGCGAACGTAAAATGCGTCTAGTAGTTGATTTCAGGAAATTGAACGAGAAAACTACTAGTGATAAATACCAGATTCCCGACATGTCAGTCATCTTAGCCAACCTAGGCCATTCGTCCTACTTCCCTACACTAGACCTAAAATCAGGATTCCACCAGATCAAATTGGCTAACGTGATAGGGAGAAAACCGCATTTTCGGTAAATAACGGAAAATAAGAGTTTTGCTGACTCCCATTCGGGCTAGAGAACGCGCCGAGTATTTTTCAAAGAGCGATCGATGATATCCTTAGGGACGAAATCGGGGGATGTTGTCACGTTTACATAGATGATGTGATTCTATTTTCAAGGACAAAGTAACAACATCTCAGGGATATCGGCATAATTCTTGCCAGGCTCTACGATGCAAACATGCGTGTTGGTTGAATTTTTGGGCTTCGTCGTATCAGCCAAGGGTATTAAAACCTGCCCTGACAAGGTCGACGCTATTCTGAACTATGAAATTCCCAAAACCCTCCGCTCCCTAAGATCCTTTCTTGGCCTTTCCGGGTTTCATCAAGGATTATGCACAGATCGCCAAACCTCTTACTAAATTTTTACTTTAGATTTTAGATTTTTATTTTAGAAAACGGCACTGTAGGCACAAATAAATAAATAAATAAATAAGTCAATGAAAATTTAAATTATCTTAGATAGCGAAGCAATTACGGCTTTCGAAAAAATCAAGAAAATTTTGGCTTCGGAAGAAGTCCTTCTTTACCCTGACTTCGAATAGCCATTTGACCTCACGACAGATGCATCTTCGCAAGCACTAGGTGCCGTCTTGTCACAAGGCGGAAGACCCATTATGATGATTTCTCGAACATTCTCCAGTATAGAGGAGCACTATGCAACGAATGAACGAGAACTGTTTGCTATAGAGTGGGCCCTGCAAAAGCTGCGAAACCACCTTTATGGCGTCAGACAACTTAATATTTTCACTGACCATCAGCCATTAATTTTTGCTATATCAGATAAGAGCTCAAACGCAGAATTTCGTCGCAGATGCACTATCTAGGGAATTTATGAACAACCTTAATGAGAACAACGCGTTGAGTTGTCTCACAAATCACAGTGAGGAATCCCTCACGCGAACCATACCGACGGTGCAAAATCCAATAAACTGCTTTAGAAACCAACTAATTCTCGACACGGGGACGACGGCAAGTAAAACTACTAAAATTTTTTTTCAAACACAGGTCCGACACGAAATTACATTTTCTTCGCAGGACGACATATTCGACCTGCTAAAGACGGCTGTAAACCCAATGTGATCAACGGGATATTTTGCGAACTGTCAGTATTAGGACAGATCCAGGATAAACTAATTAAAATGTTCCCATCCGTCAAGTTCCGTCATACAATGAATAGGGTCATAGACGTCACTAACAAAAGCGACCAAGGAAATTCTTGCTACTCAGCACAACCGTGCTCATAGATCAGCACGGGAAAACACCATGCAGGTTTTGAAGGACTATTTTTTTCCAAACATCTATAAAAGCTCCAAAGAAATCGCCTCAAATTGCAAAATCTGCCGTGAAGCCAAGTGTCAACGCTGTTAGCGTAGTTACTGGCTTGATCATTCAATTGTATTAATCTATTTGTACCTTAATGTTGTTTTCGTAGTTACTTGCTTGTTCAAGCGAACCTATCCTCTATTGTACCTTAATGTAATGTAATAATTGTTATCGATTTCTAATTTTGTAAAAACGACCACATCACTAATAAAAAATCCAAACTCATTCGTGATCTGGCGTTTCAAGAGGAGGAAAGAGTTGTTTTTCTATTGCTAATATATTATTTGTAACTTACACGCATATTTATACTTTTAGGAAATAAAGCATCACGCCTTGGAAAGCGTTATTGTCAGCAAAAGGCGAGCTCTTATTATTTTATTCCTCGCCAGATCGCGTTTCTACAGCCTTTATTTCACTTTTATAAGCACGCTGCCAAGATATTGGACTGAGTCTTATCCGTTATAAGAAGGCCGGAAACATCCTAACGTCGCATAGTGAGCTGCACCACGAGATTTAGTCGTCGTGTTAAGGTGCTTGAGAGCTAAGGCGAGAAGATAGCTGAAATAAGTAATCCCGAGAGGGTAGTGCGCAGGCGCACGTGGACTTCAGCGTTATTTGAGGATAATTGCTTGTGCCGCAACCGGAGGCTACTATCGGGTCAGGAGAAGTATTGGGCAGCACGTGACAGAAGAAAGAAGGTTGAATGTAAGAGAAGCAAGAGGATTAGTGCTATCCGTATTCGAAACAAAGACCACGGAGTGAGAAGCTCATTTGGTAAGTGCCTTAAGAAATTGATCTGGGGTAAAGCATTGTAGTCGGTGGTTTGTCACGGGTAGAAGTGTGGGTGGAACAGAAATGTAGTAGAAAAAATTGGCAAAAAGCGCGCGAAATAATTTGCCAGCAACCGTTTTAATTATGCCGAAAACGCGTTCCGAAGTAAGTAAGGATGCCGCTGCGAGAGAGGGAGATAGCGATACAAATGACGATTTCGAAGAAACGGTTATTCGACAGCCTCCAGCGAGTTCACTCGCTCACCAATCGCTCGAGATGAGACTAACTGAAATTCTTCAGCAGGTGCAAAATCTTCAAGAAGAAATAAGGCAAAACAGATTAGTGCAAGCAAACACGGTTGCCACCGACGAAATAATTGCGACGGCATTCAGCGTAATCGGTCGTTCTCAAGCTAGCTCCCAGCCCGCTCCGACACGTAAACTATACGATTTGCCGGAATTTGATGGGCGGCCAGAGGACTGGCCGATGTTTAAAGAAACGTTTTTAATGACAACTGAAGTGTATCAATACAGTGACACTCAAAATATGATGCGGCTACAAAAGGCGGTCAAAGGCAAGGCGAGAGAGACTATCGAATGCTTATTGATTCATAGTAGAAACGTATCTCAAATTATTAAAGTCTTAGGGGAGCGTTTAGGAAAGCCGGAACAGCTAGTGAAGAGCCAAATTAACAAAATTAGAAATATTGCCCCAATTTCCAAAAGTCGCATTGAGCAACTAGTGACATTCGCGACCAAAGTCCAGAACTTGTCTTCGTTTCTTCAGGCGGCTGACTGCGAACACCATTTGTCCAATCCGACGCTGATGGAAGAACTGCTGCTGAAGCTTCCGGTACAAAGACGCATCGAGTGGGTACGTCATGCTACATCAATTGTTCCGAGACCAACAATTTGTCACTTCAGCGAATAGCTACAAGAGCTGTCAACGATTGTGAGTTCAGCCTGCGCGTATACGGGTTCGGAGCAGCGCCAAAATAAATATGAGGGGCGTCCAAGGATTTTCCACGCCAGTGAGGCTATCAGTGACGGTTCGTCGCGAACGAAGTGTGATGCATGTACAGAGAGACACTGGTTAAGTAAATGCAGGAGATTTCTGGCGATGGATCTCGGTGACAAGTGGCGTCTAGTTCGTCGAAAAAGGCTGTGTTTCAACTGCTTGAAGGGAAACCATCGCAGCAATGCTTGTGAAGAACAGCACGAATGCGGAGTTAGGGGTTGTACGAAAATGTTGCACGCACTTCTTCATGAACCCAGAGATCGAGAGTGGCAGTTAGCGCAGCGGGGGCAGGCATCACAGTCGACACCGCTGTTAGCGACACAACAGACTTTACCATCGGCATCAGGACATGCGGCGCAGAGGCATGGGGCATTTGAGGCAGAGGTACAGCAAGTCTTTACGAATACTATAGGGCAATATCCCGCGCCGAACTTATTATTTAAGATACTCCCCGTGTTGCTATACGCCAATGGTAAGGGAATTTAGTGCTACGCGTTCTTCGATGAAGGGTCAGCCATATCATTGATAAATAGTGAGTTAGCAACGCGCCTCCGGTTTAGGGGCGATAGCGAGAATTTGACGTTACAGTGGTTTGGTAGCACGACCGTTACAGAACCTTCGAGTAGGGTGAGTGTACAGATTTCAGGTGTCGGTCGTAACCGCAGGAAGTTTACAATGCGTGATGTTCGCACGGTTTCGAACCTTCAGTTACCAATGCAGTCACTTAGTATATCTGATCTTCATTACAAGCACCGACACTTACCGATCCGGCAATATAGCGACGCTACACCAGAGTTGTTGATCGGCTTAGATAACGCGCACCTTGGTATTCCGCGGCGTACAGCATACGATGGCAGCAGAGAACATACAGTGGTACTCACCAAACTCGGTTGGGTAATCTATGGGACGGCAAATACTCTAACTCAAGCACGCTATCACTCTCTGTTTGCAAGGGTAAGCGATGAAACGTCCGACAAGCTGGAGGATCTCGTGAACGATTTGATAACCAACGAGAACATGGGCGTAAGTGAGGTAAAGCAGGTGGCCGAGCCTGAATACGTAGCACGAGCCAAGAAACTTTTGAATGAACATACTAAGCGCGATGGTCGTAAATTTGAAACATGTTTGTTGTGGAGGCGGGACGACGTGAAGCTTCCAGAGAGCCGCAAGATGGCGGAGAATAGATTTCTAGCTTTGGGAAGAAATTTTAGAGGTGATAACCATCTGAAGAGAGTATATACAACAATCATGGTGGAATATGTTGAGAGGGGTTACTGCCGCAAGCTGGGCAAGGAGGAAGCAGAGACGATAAGCGAACGTACGTGGTACTTGCCTCATTTTGGCGTATACAACCCTAACAAACCAGGGAAACTCACGTTCGTTTTCGATGCTGCAGCAGAATCGCAGGGCGTCTCGCTGAACTCAGAGCTACTAAGTGGGCCTGATCTTTCGCAGCCGTTAGCAACAGTCCTCATGAAATTCATACAGAAGCCTATTGGAGTCGGATATCGTCGAGATGTTCCATCAAGTGAGGATAAGAGATGAAGATTTGAGCTCACAGCGTTTCTTGTGGAGAGCTGATCCTGGAGTGCCGATGGAGGAGTACGTTATGAACGTAATGACGTTTGGGGCTACGTGTTCGCCGTGCTCAGCGCAGTTCGTGAAGAATAAAAATGCGGAAGATTTTAAAGAGCGATTCCCGGAAGCTGCGGCGGCGATCGTAAACAACCATTACGTCGACGATTTCGTGTATTGTTTTTCAAACGCAGATGAGGCCTTGAGAGTTACGAAGCAGGTTATCTATATTCATGAAAATGGGGGCTTCGAACTTAAAAGGTTCGTATCTAACTCGCAACTCGTTAGAAGACTAAATAAAGAAAGTCCACTTTCACCTCTTCTGAATCTCGATAGGGAAAACGCAAAGATGTTTCAAAAAGTGCTTGGGATGTTCTGGGACACGGAACAAGATGTATTGAAATTTATTTTATCCTTTGGAAAGGTTAACAAAGACGTGTTGAAGGAGAAGCGGCGTCCGACAAAACGAGAAGTTCTTAGTATGGCTATGTCCGTGTTCGATCCCTTTGGGATCGCCGCAGAGTACACCCTAGAAGCAAAATTAGTCCTGCAAATGATATGGCGAGAGCGAGTCGACTGGGATGGAGGCATACCCGATGCAGTGTACGACAGAAGGCGAAAGTGGCTGCGAGTGTTGCCTGAATTGGTGAAAGTAAGCATACCACGTTATTACGGAGCTGCATTTATGAAAACGCCGGCCGAGCTCATTTGTTTTCAGATGCCAGCGAGATGGCCTACGCTGCTGTTGCTTACTGGAGGATAACATACGACAATGGTAACAATCAGTTGACATACGTCGCGGTTAAAACTAAGTGCGCGCCACTAACACTCATGTCCGTGCCTCGTCTCGAGCTGCAGTCAGCCGTACTCGCCACGTGTCTTAGGCAAAGCATTGTCGAAGGTCACGATAAGATTCCGTGTAGGGTCGTGATGTGGTCTGACTCAAGAACGGTCCTATCCTGGATAAAATCAGACCACCGCCGCTATAAACCTTACGTGGCACACCGAGTTAATGAGATTCTGGATGGCAGTGGCATCAATGACTGGAGTTGGTTACCCAGCGCATTAAACCCCGCAGACCACGTGACGCGTACCAGAGATGAAAGACGAGACTCACTCTGGATCATGGGTCCGAAGTTCCTGAGAGAAGAGGAGACACGCTGGTTTCCAAAGGAAACGTACGAGGGCACGAACGTCGAGCTGCGTAACAAATTTGCGATTCTGTTAATTAAAGCCGATACTACCGTTTTTAGAAAATTTTCATCCTTTACGAGATTGAAGCGAGTTGTTGGCTGGATACTACGATTCCGAGAAAATTGCCGCAGAACAAGAGCGACACGAGTCAATGGCGTCCTGATGGTGTCCGAGTTGAGGCGAGCTGAGGCAGCTGTTATTAAGGCTACACAAATTGAGGTTTTCCCTGCGTGCAAACAAGCAAATAGATAAAAGTAGCGCATTGTGGACCTTAAGTCCGACTATGGACAAGGAAGGAGTAATAAGGCTGAAGTACGACGAAAATTTTGGATCCCTCCGATAAGAGTCGAGGTGCGACGAGCCGCTAAGAGACGCCAGATTTGCATGAAGGAAAAAGCAGCACCACATCAACCAAAGATGGGCCAACTACCGATCGACCGCTTAACACCATTTGCTAGGCCTTTCACTTACGTCGGGCTAGACTTCATGGGGCCGTTCTCTATCGTCATCGGCAGACGGCGCGAGAAGCGCTGGATTGCTCTCTTTACGTGTCTGACCATGCGAGCGATACACTCGAAATAGCGAAAAACCTGTCTACAGACGCCTGCTTGATATGCATACGTAATTTCGTGTGTAGACGCGGAACCCCGGTGCGCATTCGCTCCGATAACGGAACAAATTTCGTCGGTGCTGATAAAGAGCTGAAAAGACAGCTGACTGAGTTTGACAAGGGCAATATAGCCAACGCGCTGGCCAGCCATAATATAGAATGGGTTTTCAATTGTCCATTGAATCCGCATGCTGGAGGGTGCAGGGAACGTTTGGTAAGAAGTGTTAAGAGAGCAAGGGGCCACGCAGTACACAATGAGTCTTCAGGAGCACGCCCTATATAGTCTGATGTGTGAGGCGGAAAATATTGTCAATTCGCGATTGCTGACGCACGTTCCCCTGGACACTTCCACCGACGAATCGCTAACCCCCAATCACTTTCTTTTAGGTGCACCAAACTCGGAGCAAACTCCACACCCCAATGAAGAGAGGTTCCAAGCTACGCGGAAGCAATGGCGCATAATCCAACAAATGCAATACAGGTTTTGGAAGAAGTGGGTCGATGAATACTTGCCTGACCTGACGCGAAGAACTAAGTGGTATCAGCCAGTAAAGCTTTTAGCTGTGGGCGACATCGTGCTCATCTGCGATAGAAGCTTGCACCAATCGAGGTGGCCCATGGGACGAATAGTCGAAGTGTTCCCGGGTAAAGACGACCAGGTTAGAGCCGCACAAGTCCAGACGAAGAGGGCACATTTAAGCGGCCGGCCTGCATCTTAGCTCAGCTGGAGTTGGGTAAATCTGGTTAGATTTACGGGGGAGGGGCTGTTAGCGCAGTCACTTGCTTGTTCATTCAATTGTATTAATCTATTTGTACCTTAATGTTGTTTTCGTAGTTACTTGCTTGTTAAAGCGAACCTATCCTCTATTGTACCTTAATTAATGTAATGTAATAATTGTTATCGATTTCTAATTTTGTAAAAACGACCACTTCACTAATGAAAAAATCCAAACTAATTCGTGATCTGGCGTTTCAAGAGGAGGAAAGAGTTGTTTTTCTATTGCTAATATATTAATTGTAACATACACACATATTTATACTTTTAGGAAATAAAGCATCACGCCTTGGAAAGCGTTATTGTCAGCAAAAGGCGAGCTCTTATTATTTTATTCCTCGCCAGATCGCGTTTCTACAAACGCCATCCCCCAAACCCTACAATAGGGAAAACGCTATATATTCAACAGTGGCACCTCCACTTCCTAACTTGTATCGATACAGTTTCCAAATTCGCCATAGTTTCACCTATTAATTCTAGATCGATAATAGATGTGTGACCAATGATGCAAGCTTTGAATTTTTTCAAAGGGACAGCAACGGTAGTATTTGATATCGAAAAATCTTTTAATTCCGAAACAATCAAATCTCTTCTAAGGGATCATTTCGGGATAAACACATTCACGACACCTCCATACCATAGCAGTTCAACGTTTCCACAGCACTCTAACGGAGATTGCGCGCTGTATTAAATTAGCGCAAGGAACAAGCGATACCACCGATATAGTCTTGCTTGCTACAGTAAAATACAATAGATCAGTCCATTCTGTCACGAAACAAAAACCAATAGAAGTTATCAGTTCGATTCCAGAAAGTCTGAAAGAAGAAATTAAGACTCGAATCACTAAAGCGCAGGACATAGAACTCCGAAGATGTAATGAAAATAAAATAACGAAATTATTGCAGCCTGGTGATAGGGTTTTTGTCAAAACTAACAAACGCATTGGTAACAAATTTTCCAAGGTTTATGTGGAAAAAACGGTGGCAAAGGATTTAGGGACCACTGTATTGATTGGTAACACACGTGTTCACAAAAGTAATCTTAGGAGACATTTTTCATTCCAGGTTACTGATATTCTACCGCGGCACAGCGGGGTTGCTAGACTATTCATATTCTAATTATATACCGATGTCTGACGGACTGGTTGCTACCTTTACGGAATACGACTACCTAACCCTCCAATCGAACCTAACCGTATTCGAAAAAGTTGTCGAAGAAACAAACAACTACAGTGAGCTTTTTCCACATACGCACAAAAACAACTGCTACAACTCGACTCGGACCAAATTACAAATCTTTTAGGGGTACTAAGAATTCACCACCGACATTCTCGTAGTCTGAACTTTATTGGCA